TGTTCTACAACAACATTCACTTCTTCTTTCTTTTTTTAAATTGAATTACAGTCAATTTACAATGCTGTGTTAATTTCTGGTGTACAGCATAATGATTCATTTATACATATATATGTATATATATACACATATACACATATATTCTTTTTCATTACAGGCCATTACAAGGTATTGAATATAGTTTCCTGTGCTATACAGTAGGACCTTGTTGTTAATCTATTTTCTATATAATGGTTAGTATCTACAAATTCCAAACTCCCAATTTATCCCTCCCCACCCCTTTCTCCTCTGGTAAACATAAACTTGCTTCTGATGTCTGAGTCTGTCTTTGTTTATAAATAAGTTCATTTGTGTCCTTTTTTTCTCCAGGATGTACAAACAGCTCATACAACTCAATAACAAAAACAAACAACCCTATCCAAATATGGGCAAAAGACCTAAACAAACATTTCTCCTGTGAAGACATACAAGTGGCCAATAGGCACACAAAAACATGAAACAAGCTCAATATCACTAATTATCAAAGAAATGCAAAGCAAAACTACAATGAGGTATCACTTCACACTGGTCAGAATGGCCACCATTCAAAAGTCCACAAACAATAAATGCTGGAGAGGCTGTGGAGAAAGGAAACCCTCCTACATTGCTGGCGGGAATGTAGTTTGCTGAAACCTATTATGGAAAGCAGTACAGAGATTCCTTAAAAAACTGAAAATAGACCTACCCTATGGTCCAGGAATCCCATTCCTGGGCATATATCTGGAAGAGACTCTAATTAGAAAAGATACATGTACCCCAATGTTCATAGCAGCACTACTAAATACAACAGCCATGACATGGAAGCAACCTAAATGTCCATCCACAGATGTATGTATAAAAAAAGTTGTAATATATATACACAATGGAATACTACTTGGCCATAAAAATTATAAAATGATGCCATTTGCAGCAACAGGGATGGACCTGGAGGATGGTCATACTAAGTGAACTAAGCCAGAAAGAGGGAGAGAAATACTATATAAAATCACTCGTATGTGGAATCTTTAAAAAAATAAAAGGACATAAACTTATTTACAAAAAAGAAGATGGCATTTTAATTATCTGGCTAACTCCTGTAATTTCTCTCATTCAGTTCTAAAATTCAGAGGGAAAGATAGTTGTACTTTATTTATTAAGCTCCACTAACCCTTAAAATTGACTTCACCTTGATGAAAGCAGACTAAGATGTTGTCTATCTCACTCTCAGGATTAAGGTGAACACCACCACTTGACAAATAATCGGAGGAGCCCATGAGTCCAGTTAAAAGCCTGAGTTCCAAGACAGAGCTTCCTTACTTTAGCTGCTGAACTGCTCTCCTACCTACACATCCAAAGATGGAAGAACTAACTGGCTGAAAGGAGTGAGAACTGTCTGTTCAGGAGACAGTTCCTCCAGGCAGATGCTGGCTCGAGTGTCAGCCCATAGGGCTCAGCAATTTAATGGCACAGACTCCCCAAAACAAAGAGGACTTGTTTCTTCGGGAACGTGCACCTAGTAGACAAAAAGATAGAGGAATCTGTCTGAGGGAAAGAGAAAGAGTCCAAACTTTGGACAACTAAGTTTCTCTTTAGGGTGGCATCTGATACTTGTGATTTCAGTTACTGCTTGAAGTAATACTACATCTTAGCATTAGAAACGTCTGCCATACCAGTATTTCTGAAGTCATTTATTTATTAAAGTTGTAAATAAAAAACACTCTAGGGAAATTCTCCAAGCAGGTAGTTAATACAGGCTCAAATGTTTCAATACACTGAGTTTTCAATCAGGCCAACAAAATTAACCCAATTACACGTTTTCCTTATTTGCAGACCTCTACCGAAGTCCACTGTTAAAGGAAAAAATGAATATTTCATTTCAAAACCTCAGAAATTTTCATTGATTTGTGACTATTGAAAGAAAATCTGAACTGTTAAAACTTGGACCCAAGGATAAAACTAAAAGGAATCCATGAATTGCTGAATTATTTGTAGATTTTACAGAGTGTAAGTTTGTTAAAGAGATGAGAGTCTAAAACTTTCAGCAGTTTCTCAAAGCCATGGGAACCACCAAAATGAAATAATCATGTACTGAAACCATCACGGTTGACAATCAAGGCAGATGCAAAATCACACTGACAATCAAGGCAGATACAGAGGAATACATATAGAAAGGATACTCAGTGAACAATCCGGAACTCAATCTAGAAGATGATTAAACCTGTTTTAAAACAGTCTGAACAATAGCAAAACCTGAGGTTCATCTTCACAATTTTATAATTGCTTAGATTTTCTCTCAACAAATCTGCTTACTTTTAGAATTTTTTTAAAAATTTAAGCCTTGCTAACGCTGATGGAAAAATCTAAAGCTTAAAGTCCCACATTTACCCAGCTCTATTAACCTGTTGTGTGAACTCGAACGAACCACTTAAGTTCCCTGAGCCTCTGTGTCCTTGTCTGTCAACAGAGAAGCATTGATAGGATTGGTGAGCTTCATTTTAACTCAAATTTTTTGGATTCAGTGACTCAGAACTTCTGACATCACTATAAACAACTCATGGGAAGCCACTGATTTTTCAATAATAATGAATGGAGGCTTACCTTCAATGAAGTGACACCCAGATAAGGAGATAAAATGTGGACATATAAAATGTCGAGGCTAATAAGATATCCACTTAACATAAACACACACACATTTTGTCCATTCTTTCAGTACAACTAGATTCAAAAAGATTTTGTGACAAGCAGGATTATCCAAAAGACATTGCCTCTCTTTGGCTGGGATAGAAGACACCAATAATTATGAAAAAAAAAGATACCTGGGTCTAAAATAGGTCCAGTATTAACAAGCATAGTGACATTATGACCGTGATCTTGAAGAATCTGAGACACTTGCTCCAACAGGAAGTAATGGCTTCCATCTAGAAACAATACATAATATCACTTTGGTGAAAATAAGAACAGAAAGTCTGAAATTGTGGTGGGGGATGTGGGGAAATCCAGGGTAAGGCAACAGAAAGCTGACAGTGAGCTGAGAAAGAAGAGTTTCTTCAGTCCCTCCTTCTCACTCTGGGCAAGCCCCAGCCTAGCTACCTACATCGTGCCTTCCTACAGCTTTGACCTGTAGCAATCCCTCACCAAACATTCTTTCTTAGGACCTGTGGTCTCCACATCAGTGTAACGCAATTCTAGGTCTGAAGGAATTCCTGATCCTAAGGTACACACTGCCTTTTAGCCAGGGACATATGGAGACACTGTGTCCTAAAGAAACAACTGCACTGGTGGAAATTTGGGCACAGTCCTATGCATGTGAGTGTGAAGGGTTCCTAATGGACTATCAACCGGAGCTATTTCTGGAATCCTTCTCTCTGGAAATGCATGCTAGAGTAGGAGCCAGAAATATGGGTGCTTGAATGTGAGTCCAAGAAGCAGCCATTGAAGCAGAAGGATGTGGGGCCACCACTTAGAGCCAGACTGCTTGAGATTCAGATGTATTTGGCAGGAAATTTCTCAGTTGGAGCCTGAATTTTTCACATCCATTAAGGCATGCAAGACAACTGTGGGGCCCATGGGGCAGACCTGCAGGATCCTAAATGCATGGGACACTGGGACATCCCCCATCCTAGGACAATACTGGGATCCTAAAGAAAGAGAAGCTTCACCCTTGGGAGAGGTACATGCTCCATCACACCAATGTCCTGTCTAAAAGCATGCACCATCATGGGGCATTTTTCTTGAATCTGTGGGTCTCAGCAGCAGAGGAAGCCAGATCAGGAGGGAAGGAAAAGATTTTTCCAAAGTTGAGAAGTGGGAGTTGTTTGGGAGACAAAGGTCCCAAGACGACTGGGCCAGTGAAGGATGCTGTAGAACTACATATATAGTGTGGGGGTTTCTCTAGTTTTTTATACCCATATTTGTGTTGCCTAAGGTAAC